ATTCTGTGATTCTGTGTGATTCTGTGACTAAAGTTTTTCTACCTCTTCTCCCCCTACCCAGCCTGGGATACTCACTGTTGAGTAGGAGAGTGCCTCTTCTGAATTCTGCCAGTCTGCCCAGACATCTGAGGGCAGAAAAAAAGAAAAACCAAGCAAACCAAACCACTACCAAAAAAACCCCAAACAAAACACATGCATGAAGAAGTAGGAAATCTCAACTAAGTTGTGTGTTACCAGCGTGCTTGGACTCCCACAGTGGCTGTCTGAGTGTGCAGCAGCCTCCATGTGTGCTAAAGTGTGTCAGTTCTGGAGACTTCAGTCTGTTTGGAGCTGATGCCAATAACGGCACCACCCTCCTTTCAGTAGCCACCAAAGATTCCTACCATAGCCCTGGGGCCTGTAGCTTTTTCTCATGGTGCTTTTGGTTATTACCATGTTTATCTTCCTGTCTGTGTAAATGTGGTGGTGATTATGTACTGGAGTTGCAGTTAGCCTGTCTGAGTGTTATTACAGTGATACAGCTCTGATCAGGACTGTTCTGGTGATTAAAATAGGAGAGAAGGTTGAGTGTTTTGTGGTTTGTTGTGTTGTTTTGGGAGTTTTTTTGTATGATCTGATTATTTTTAAGTATTGTTATTATTTGTGTGTGTGAAGGTGCTGTGAGAATTGACATAGCTGTGCAACGTAGCAGAATTAATGCTTGTTTATGGATATGGATTCTTTTTTTTTCTTCCCTCTCTGCAGTCTTAAAGAACATCCTCACTTACAATAAGGAGTTCCCCTTTGATGTTCAGCCTGTCCCACTCAGGTAAGAGAGAACTGGGTCATTTCATGTACAGATACGTACCTGAGAGGGAGCTTAGTGTGGGACTTGGTGTACATCTGAAACACTAGAATCTCATGAGCCACCTACTTGCTGTACTGCTTTGGGTAAACTGTTTGATAAAAGAACCTTTGAATTCTGTTTGTCTAAGTGCCACTAAAAATCAAGCCCATGCTTTTGGTTGGTACAGGACTTGGTACATCCCTACATCTCTCTGAAATTGCCAGTATTGTTTCTGGTTTTTAGACTCTGTGCTTTCTATTGGGCTGAGCTCCTGCAATCTCTGTCAGAATCTATAGGTACAGGTAGTAGTTAATAAGAAGTATGAAATGACATGAAAACATGTAGCCCCTGCTCTATACTCAGATGCTGACTTGTCAGTTGAAAGCCAGGTGATGAATGATCTTTCATCCCATTCTTTCTCACGTTTTACAGGAAGATTTTAGCACCTGGAGAAGAGGAACACTTGGAGTTTGAAGAGGATGATGAAGAAGGAGGAGCTGGAGCAGGGTCTCCAGACTCTTTTCCTGCTAGAGTTCCAGGTAGGGGCCTTGCCATGCCAGCCTATGTAGCATGTGTAAGTTCTGTCTGTGAGAATCCCCTTTCTCCACCTGTGATTTGTAAAGTTTGGGTGAGGAGCAGCAGGCTGATGTAAACTCTAATGCTGTTTTGGAGAACCACAAAGGTGACCAGTGGCGTTTTTTTTTTTCGTCAGCAAACAGTATCTCACAGCAAAACAGCTGTATGGATAACCTGTGAGGGTGGTACCATCTGTGTCAAGTAATTAGCCTTTATTCCTTCTTCAAACTCGGTATTTTCATTCCATGTGCTTTTTTAATGGTATTATATTAAGTGTTTCAAACACATTCAAATGTAAATTGTGGCAGTGTTTCTCCTGCAAGGAACATCACTTCCTGCTAGAGATGTGTGAGATGTCTCATTATCTGGTGAGGCAATGGCTTAGACTAAAGCCAAGCTCTGAGAGGATAAAGAGAGGGTAGCTTTGTTTTTGATAGCTTAAGTACTTGTCCATGTGAAAGCACTTGGTAGAACTGGATATACCTACAGATTCTAGAGGAAGTCTTCCTATAACTTCTTCACCCTGTCTATTGTCAAAAGCTGGAGTAGGATGTTCCAGCAGAGGTTCTTTAGGTTCCTGGTGTAGTTTCTTTGCAGAAGAAACAAGTTCCTAGTTTCAGAGCAGGCTGGAAAACTTCATAGTTCAGGAAGGAGATAACAAGTAGGGAAATTAGTATTGGAAGGTCGAAAGAGTTGGGGTGTTGCATTACTTATGCCTGGAGAAAACAGGGTTCTGTCCTTAGATTTGAGCCAGTGCATACAACTGAGTATGATCCTTGCAGGCTATACTGATGTAGATATGCACAGTCTACAGTTGTTTATGCCAAGCTTACAAATAGACTATAATATATTGTGGTATTTTATTGCTAACATTTATTATGTTTATCCTTGTTATTCACTGTGATAAATCTGTTTATGAAAATGCATTCTGTCTGTCCGAAGTACAGCAGGGAGACCTTGAATAGCTCATGGTGTGGTGGTGAATCAATAAGGCTGTGACCATTACCATAGTGCCAACAGTGTTACCTCTGTGCAACCCATCACAGCTGTATGTATATAGTGGATGCAGAAGCTGTGTATGTGCTTAAGAAAGAATCTGTTGATTATAGATTGATTGAGTTTACAGTTAAATAATTTTCAAAGTAGGATATCCAAATCAGAAAGAGGAGCAGTTTGGGGCATAAACTTTCTTACAGAATTATTCCTCAGTAGGACCATGCTTTTAAGAGGAGGTGACAGCAACTCCTGAACTTGCTGATATTTCATATGGTCATCTACTCAACAAACTGCATATCTGACTTTTTGAATTTCTTTGCATTAAGGTAAACTTCACCATAGCTGCAATAACCTAAACCCCTAATGTGGTTTTGTACAACTTGAACACAGATCTTGTTTCCCCATTGAAAGTAAATTACTGTGCCATTTCTTACCTGATTGGAGGTTGGTCTGTTGCTCTGTCTCTGGGTGGTAAGGCTTTAAACAAAAGCAGTTTGCAGCCTTCTGGGGTGAGCCTTGTGAGTAAAGTGGATTTTCCATATTGAATTGATAGAACTGTGTTGCGCTCTTTGCTTCTGTATGCCTGTAATCCATAGTGCATAACTGTATTGTCTAACTGATCATGGTCTTGTCTTCTACATGCATGGCTTCATCGTTATCACATTGCACCATTCACCTAACCCAGGAGCCAATGAAGGTATGATAACATTTTAGTATATACAGTTATTTCTTTGATCATATTCAGCTGTGATGTTCCTCATTCAGCTCTTAGTTTCAACCCTCAAAATACAACCTTTGGTAGCAGTCATAGTACCAGGCATCTCCCTGTCAATCTCCATTTGCCTTCAGTACCAGAAAAGGGGAAGATCACATTTGGTGTTACAACTTACATAGCTCTCTAGAAGTCCTGCTGTGCTAATAAAGACATTCTGACTTGCAGTGTAGGCCAAGGTAGGTGTAGCTAGACTTTCTTTAGCGGAACACACGTTTTATGGGAAATCTTGCACAAAGAGTACTTGTGTAGTTAGACTTCTGTGCTACATGGAGCTGAACTGACCAGTGGCTTGCTGCCTCTAACAACAAAGGTTTCCTGCCTTTCTCCTGATTGTATACTTCTTTATTCCACTGCTGTGCTGGAAATGGATTTTTCTGTGAACCATTTCCATTTGTGAACCCCGCAGGAGCCTTGTCACTTTTTCCCCTTTCTCTGAATTGGGGTTTGGGAATGGAGAGACTGCACGCCTGTGTCTTGGTGGCAGTGAGCTGTTGGGTTGGCTCACCTTTGTGTGTCTGAAGTGCATTTGTAGGAGGACACTCATTCATTTGTAGATGCTCCCTTCCCCCTCTGGCAATGATGCCCTGTGGTTGTGTCTGAAATGGCTGGCAGTTCTCTCATGAAAAGCCTCAGTGTGAGCCTCCTGAAGGCTCATGAGCCCAAGCCATGGTGGTGGACGGGCAGTGCGATGCCCAGCCCTCGTAAAGTTATACCATAGAGAGGTTACTGTCAGCTAATGGCTTATGTGAAATGGCTACAGAGGCTTCAGCGAAAGACCTACTTGAGTGGTTGTGGCTCACATGAGACAGGTTACAGTCAGCTGCTTTAGTCTGTTGTTGCCTTGGCTATTCCTCCTGCTGAGGCAGAAAGGAAACTGTTCCTTGGAGACCATCTGTCCTACTGTTCTCTTACCTACTGGAAGTGAGCTTGACTTTTCTGTTCATTGCAACTCTGCCATTTCACCTATTCTGGAAAGCGTTTTTCAAGAACAGAATAGTTTTTCTTAAGGTGCTGGTTTTGTAATAAATGCCAGTCTGATGATTGATTTTTGATTGAAAATCACTTCCAGGTGATTTTTCTGTCAACTATCCCATCGCTTATTTCCTTGAGTGATGGATAAGAAAACTGAAGGTTACAGTTGTTCTTGGCTCTTGGGGGGGGTATGTTGCATTTAGGAGACAACTGAAAGATGGCAGAGCAAAGCTTTGTGCCAAAGAGAAGATGGGCTTACTTCTACCTGTGTTTAGATTGAAATAAGAACTCTGTCTTCAAACATCTGTTCAAGAGAGGCAGCAAGATTAACTGGAGTGTGTACGCTGCTCTGCAGAAGTGGTTGCTCTCCAAGTTAGCTTTTTAATGCTTTTCATACTATAGTCTGAAGCCTGTCCCATTATTTGAGAATAGTGGGTTGAATTCTGCTGATGTGCTGTGAAGTGTCCACTGATGCCGTACCTTGGGGGTCGTGAGTCTGCTAGCAGCCAAGACAGGAAATACAGAAGCGTACGGCACCACAGATGTGAATTCAGGTCTTGCTGATGATCCTGAAGGAGGAACTGGGTGTGGGAGTGCTCATGAAATCTCGCTGAAGATGTGGCTCTCAGAAATTCTAAGAGCAGAATACATGGTCCCCTCTTGCAAAGCCAGTCTCTCTAATAGGACAAAAACTCCTTGGTTCTGCAGCTCCTCAAGCAGATAAAGAGGAAAAACAGTATCAAGGAAAACCCGTATGGGATGTGCCAAAGGAAACTATTACTTTGTTTAGATCTCAAGCCTTGGGATAACATTTTGTTTTAATTAGAAAACCAAAGCTTTAAATCAAACTTGCTCATGAATCTAAGCATTTTCTGTCTTGGTGCTTATTCATTTAATACTGGAGAGAGGCTTGAAGCCTGCCAGTTTTCACTAAAGTCAGCATGAAGAAACCTACTCCATTGCTGGTGACAGAATCTCATGGCTTTTAGTGAGTTTGAACAGTTTGGATTTCTTGCCAGCTGCGCTGTCTTCCTCAGCACTGTGAGGATTCATTTATACTGGCCGCAAAGTCTTGATGCAGAGCTGGGAACTCCTTCCTAAGGCAGAAGGGAACTTGAGGGATGCAAACACTGGGTTTTTGTTTGTTTGTTTTTTGGTTTTCCTTTATGTAGAGACCAGTAGAACTTAGATTATTAAGAGTCTCTCTTGTGGTTTCCTTATGTCCAGTGGGATTTGCAACAATGCCATTTTCCTCCTTATTCTCCCAATCTGAATGTTCAACATGAAGCCAAGTCATGTTCATTGGGGTGGGACTCCCGATTAAGTGTCTGAACTTCCTGCAACTGCAAATTGAATCCAGCCTCCCAAATTTAATCCTTAAATATTATATAAAGTGAGTTCTATGAATGAGTTATTCTGCATGAGATCAAGAAAGAACTCTTTAAAGAAAGCTCCTCTCTGTTCATATGGTATCTGTTTTTTTGTGAATTCATTTGACTTGAGGTAGTCCTGGGTTTTTTTGGTGTGGGCTTTGAAATCTGTCAAATAATGTTGTGTGTCTCTGCACACAGACTTTCCCATATTGCTCTGTACTATTGGGATATGAACCCTTGGGCTTTGAACCCTCTAAGGAGAACAGCATCTTCCACGAGAGATGATGGCATACGCAAGGCCTCTGCTGTAAGATGACAAAAAAGAATTAATAATTTGCTTTATTCTTTCCAGGTACTTTATTACCCAGATTGCCATCTGAACCCGGGATGACATTACTCACCATCAACATAGAGAAAATTGGTCTGAAAGATGCTGGGCAGTGCATTGATCCTTACATCACAGTCAGTGTAAAGGGTAATCATTTCCATTCCTAGCTCCTCATTTCTAGTTTGGAGATAATGTGTTTTGAAAGTTGTATTGATTTTTCAGCCTTCTGGGAAAGATATGTGTTGATACTTGCATTTTCTATTGTGGACTTGAGGCTTCTGCTTTAACCAAGGGTGGAAAAATTCTGTATTTGAGAGATGCTGGAAGGTGAATCACTGCAGGAGACATGCTTATCTGTGCACTTCGGGGTGCAGTTTTGTTCCTGATGCAGCATTGGTGATCCCAGCACTTCACTCCCTGGGTGAAGTGCATCAGTGGTGCTCCAGGGCCCCAGCCTCAGCCCGTACCTCTGGCACAATGCACGTGCTGTGTCCTTGTAATCTTGGCCACATCATAAGCAACTTTGCTTCACCTGAGGGAAAAGGATCACTAATGAGGGGAGAAGGAGCGAGAGGACAAATGTCCTTGTGTAAACAGCAGAAGCTTAGTGACAAACCAGGTCATCTGTGGTGGCTTGTGCCTGAGCAGCACAACCAGTGCCTGGTGCTGGTAGCTGGAGCCCAGGCATGGCCCCACCATGCCTCTGTGTGTGGAAAAGCCCAGAGGAGTAATGCACGTTGAGTCTGGGCAGCAAAGCAGGGCATGTACAGCCTGTATAAGCTGTGCCAGCTGTGGCCCACAGACCTGTGTGGAAGGCAGCCTTTGGTGAAAGGAAACTGCTGCCAGTTCAGCTGGAGTCCTGCTGGAGTCTTGCCTGCAGAGGGAATGGAATCCTTTGCTGGCAGCAGAAATAAATGTGCTCTTAAAAATAAAAAGAGGGGTAACTCTAAATTTTTATCTTAAATATTGTCAGAACTTTACCCACTTTCATGTTGCTGTCAAAAGAAAAATCATTGACTGTGAAGGGGCATGACTGCTGCTTTTTTAAGTTTAAGGGAAAAATCCAGGTGTGCATTAACTTTTCGTGGAAGTATTAGGAGTGATTCATAGATCTCTTAAAGCAGGACCTTAAAGTCTGAGAAGTTTCTGCCATTTTCCTGCTGTTTCTTTCCTGCAGATTTGAATGGGATAGATCTGACTCCTGTGCAAGATACTCCTGTGGCTTTGAGGAAGGAGGATACGTATGTCCATTTTAACGTGGACATTGAGATTCAGAAACATGTTGAAAAACTAACAAAAGGTACGTAGTACCAGAGACCTGAAACAGGGCCCAGGAACTTTGGAAGTGTAGACACTAGGCTGCCTCTGATCTAATAAACAGGCCATGCCTGAGCTGCTGCTTCAGGGCTCAAGATCCAGGCAAGGATAAAAACAGACCTTTGCATCCTGTCTCTTTCCAGTCACTCACTGTGATGGGTTGCAGACAAGGGAGGAATGAAAAGAGATAAAAATGCAGCAGTCTGCTCTGCTGCACAGGTATTGAGCTGCTTTATCACCTTCTTAGTCACTGGACAGACTGTTACCTGGATATGAATAATTGAGTGAAGAGTACAGACTCTTGTGAGTGTGATGAGCATTGTAAGAACATGGTGTAGCTTTTGAGTAAATAACAGAAGTGTTGGAGATAATTCCTTCCAATGTGTACAGAGCATACAGATAGCAGATAAGTTTTCAGATAACTGCTGGCCATAATTGCTAACTTGTTTATTAAACCATTTTCCACTCCAGGTGCAGCTATTTTCTTTGAATTCAAACACTACAAGCCTAAGAAAAGGTTTACTAGCACCAAGTGCTTTGCTTTCATGGAGATGGACGAAATTAAACCTGGGGCAATTGTTATAGAACTGTAAGTGACTTGCAATTATAGATGCCAATGGCCGAGGAAATGAGCTAGACTTCAGTTACAATGTGTGGCTTGTTGCACCAAGGAAAGTTTCTTGGACCCACTAGGTTGACTTCCATAAGGAATGTTCTATTTTTAATAAAGAAGGGAAGATAAAATGCTTTTAGGCAAATAAAATTGCTAGAGACCCTTCTTAAAAACTAGACTATTTCCTGATAAAATGCTGGTGTTTGTAAATAATTTTTTTATAAAGTTAATTAATTCTGTATGGGAGATTTTAATTTTGACTTTAGCTTGAGTGTCACATCAGCTATATTAAAAAAAAAAATCAACTCACACAATCTTTTAGTCTGGACGCCTTCTTGTGTGACCTCATTTAGGTTCCTGCTCCGGCAGGGGGATTGGACTAGATGATCTTTTGAGGTCCCTTCCAATCCCTGACATTCTGTGATTCTGTGAATCTTTTGGTACAGAACTTGTGTAAAGGAAATCTGATTTGAGACATGGGATACTGATTTACAGCTGAATTTTATGAACGTTTCAGAGCATCCTTGGGTGGTTGGATTTTTTTGCTGCTCTAAGTAGACAAAGAAATAGATCAGCCAGTGGTTGTGCTGTAGTGGTTATGATGTGCATCCTACCCTCGCGGTGTGGGTGAAGGTCTGAGCGAGGTTTTTGAAGATTGTGGGGTTTTTTTTCAGGAAGAGGGTGAACCTTCCAACTTTGGGCACCTCTAGGAAGAGTGCTTATTGTGTGCTAGCTGCAGTACTTCTGAAGTACTGAGTAACTGATACTGCATCTCCTACACATCAGTGTTGCATTGGGAATTCTCCTTACAAAAGCCTTACATTCATTTCAAAATTGAAATATTTGTTTTGTTAAAATAATAATCCAGACAAAATGCTGGTTTGAGTTTCTTCCTGTAAATATTCGTTATTGTTGCTTCCAGTAAGTCTTGCAGATGTATTTAAAAGATTACAGTAATAAGGTCTGTACAGGACAAGCTTTCTAGTATGCTTTCATCATCCTACGCAGCCAGGAGCACTTGGATTAACTTACTTTCTTGTGGTTACAGGTACAAAAAACCCACTGACTTTAAAAGGAAGAAATTGCAACTGTTGACCAAGAAACCACTTTACCTTCACCTTCATCAAACATTGCACAAGGAGTGACCCGTTGTGAGACTTCTGTGAACTGAACCACAGGTCGTGGTAGCTGTGTGTAGTATCCTTAGCCTTTGAGGGGCAGGAGAACGACTGTATTCATGCCAGTAGGTCAGACGGGACCATCACACACTGCACAGCACTACTTCAGGGTCAGAGGCAAGCCCACCATTCCAGTGCAAGATTTTTTTTCAGTACCTTCCAGATCCAGGTTTTTTCTGAGAGCCCTGAAATACGTTGACTGCTTTTCCCGAATTTTGCTGTTCATCACTTTCTATCCTAACCTTTTGCCTCAAACTCCACCCAAGAAGGGTGGAGACTGCCCCTTTGCCAAACCTGTAGCAATAAAGATGTGGCAGGCCTACTAACCTGTTTACACTTGCTGTGCCATTGTAGTTCCTCTCATCTGCATTTCAGAGTCCTCTGTAGTGGGCTGGGTGGCAGAAAACAGAGCCAGACTAGGTGGGGCGGGAAGGAGCTTGAGGTACTGCAGGTGATTTAAAGTGAGAGAGAGGAGGGTGCTGGGTCAAGTGGGGTGGCGCAGAAGAGCTCTTCAGTCAGCTGTTCTGCTTTGGTTGGGCCAGGAAGAGGACAACTGCAGATGAGAACACCGAACTATGATTTTAACAGCCTTGCCTGATCCACTTGTACTGAGTTTTGGATACAATATATACACACCAGTCCTTTAAATTGCTGTTACTCCCCTATAGAGCTAATTTTTCCTGTATTTTTTCAAAGAGAGATTTGCAAAGATGGGTGGGGGATGGGTGGAGAGAGTCTTCAGGGCTTTGTCCTCATGGTGGAGGATGTTTTGCCATTTCAGTGACAGCAGGACAGGCCCCTCAGTGCTCAAGCATCAGTTTTCCAGGGTTTTTGGTGAAGCAGATCTGGCTAGCAGGTTGACCCACCTTTTACATGAAACTGCTGTTCTTATGGAAACTGATTGTCTGCGGTTTTCTGCATATTTTGTGCAAGTCTGGAAACTTACTCTAAAAATTACCTTTTTCTGTAAGTAGATAGGATTATCATTTATTTTCTATATTTTTGATTTGGTGTGTAATAAGCTGCAGGCCATTGGCTTATTATGACACACTTGCATTCACCTTTTGACCTAATAAAGGGACAGAAGTAGAACCCAGTCAAAACTTTCCTATATTTGCGTGGATATTTAATACAATACTTTAAGGTTTGATATACTACTTGCATATCTAACTAGTGCCTAAATACCCTGCTATGCTAACAGAAGACCCAGCTCCCAAAATCGCATCAAATACGAGGTTCATTTTAAACAGTCTGGATGCAGATGTATCACCAATTCCTCTTTTCTGTCATGTAACCCCCAGATGTTACATTATGCTTTAAGGGAAGGGATGTTACTTTTCCTCATGCTCTTTGTCTGTCTACAGGCAGCTGTTCAGCATTTTTGGCTTTACCATATTGATTAGGATAAAAAGCTATTTTTTTTCAGTGTCCTAATCTTGCTTTCCCTCTGTTCTGGTATAACTAGGGATGGCATTATTAAATGTTAGGACAAAAGTCAGTAACACTTCCTTAAATTCAACTCCTGGTTGGAGGAGAGCAAAAACAAAAGTGCAATTGAATTTTCCTGTTACGGGTCTTTACCATACCCTGGTGGTGTTACATCTGATGCATTGAACATCGAACCCTGAAAGGATATCCCTATGAGCAATGGAAATACCTCTGAGTACAGCACTCTGGCCACCAGACAAAGGGAGGATACATGCATTCTTAAAAAACAAATAAAAGTCATCCTTTGACTCTGCAAGAGGATGGAGCAGAGCATGAGGCTGTGGCTGCAAACAACACTGAGCTTGGGCCATAGCTGTCACCTGCCAGCAGGCCCTGCCTGACTCAGGTCTCTCTCTGACCAGCCTGTCCTGCTCTGCAAGGGGTGGTGATTCTGGGGCGCTGTCCTGGCCCTGCCATCCATCCTCCTGTCTTGTCTCTGCTGGTGTGTGGCTCATGGCTCAGGGTTGTGCGTGTCCCCTGGGACTCAGCCCCTGCGCCCTCCTCCTGCTGTGCCCAGGGGTAACTGGAACAGCTTAAGCTGTTCCTGCCGGGGTGGGCAAGGGAGGAGACACTGAACATCACGGTGCTTGGGTGGGGAAGGAAGGATCCTGGAGAACCCGCCTTTCAAACAGTAATGTTCGTTAATGTGCGTGTTGGTAGCCACTGCAAACCAAACCCTTTCCCTCCAGTTACAAACCCGGTGTTTCAGCTGCTTCCCTTGACTCTTCCCCAGCTTGTAGATGTATTAACTCCAGTTATATGAAATGTCAACTTTGAAGTATTTTTGTTAAATACACAAGTAGAGCTTTGTATTTAACTGATTGTGAATTAATGTCTGTAGAGTGTGAAATACCATTTTTAAAGTTGTTTCTATCCTTTGTGGTTTTTTTTCTGTGACCTGTCTTTCACTGAAAGGACTACTGCTCCCACAACACAAACTCTCTGTTCTGTGCTTTAGTGATGTTTTATCTTATATCATCTTAAATCTAAAGCTTCACACGGGTGCTGTAAGAAGGTGACACCTACATGACAAAGTTAGTGGCTGCGTGTACTCTGGCAGTAAAGCTGCAATAGGGTTTTTTATTACTCCTAGTTGTTCTCCCCCCTCCCCAAGGCTTTTACTTTTCTACAGAGCACTTTTGAAAAACCTTAGTGCCCAGGTAAGTCAGTGGCCTGCTGTGCCAAACACTACCTCCTCATCCTTGTACCGGCACATTCAGGGACTTCCTGGAACATCTACCAGTGTTCTGTGTACACAGACTGATGTGAAGCAGTACAGGTGCCTGTGGGTTACGTACATCCGCTCTGCTTTATGGAAGATGACTTTTTTATTTGGTGCTGTAAGTAAGTGAGAAAGGCTGTAAAAATCCAGCCTTGCTGCAGAGATGCTGAATTAGTCTCCAGTACCGGAGTAGGATGAGAACTCGGCTCTCAACCCTTGCTTAATGCTGCAAGCCAGTCTTGAAAGCAATTATGAAACTTCTTAGTTTCTAGAATCCTGGAGCAGTCACCTGTATTTCCAAACTAACTCCGCAATGTCATGAAGGGTTTCCAGCTCTGCACTGCCCGGCAGCTGAGGAGGGCTGTGTCCCCCCACTGTCCTCATTACCTGAAGCAAGTCCCCAACGTGCCAGACTGGGTGAGGATGTGGGTAACACCAACATTAATCTTGCAGCAGCAGCAGTTCAGCCTTGATTCAGTTCCTGAACTTGGTCACAGCTGCAGCATTCTCTGGTGAAGTTACTGAACAAAATGGCACTGAAACAAAGCCTGCAGGATTAGCAAAAGGAACTTTGCTTTTTATTATAGCTTTCCTTTGAATACAGTGTCATTTGTGCTTCTGATCTCTGACCAGACATTTAAAAAAAACAAAACCACAAACCACCTCACATCCTCGTGTAAACCCCTGGCCTACCTGGAGTAACTGCAGCTTAATGATATGACAGAGAAGGCAGGTCCGAGAGCATTTTACTTAAAAATTATTTCCACAGGAAATGATTTGATTTACATTTTTGACGAAATTAGTTCATTCACCAACTGGTTACAGAGGCTACATTTAATTAAAACTAGCCACACAGGTACTTCCTTTCTATTGCACGTTTAGAGTAGGTTCAAGTCCATCACAAAAAGGTTCTTGCAGCCCAAGAGGATGGATGAGTTTAATGTGATCGTAAATGCACATAAGATGTCTTAGCAACTGGATAAAAATTAATCCTGCAAAAGCTGAGATAACTGAAATGAGACCAGTGGCTTCACACAGAGCCATTTCCTGAAATCCTGACGGCAGGAACTGCGCTAGTCCATTCTGCTGAGCTGCTGACCAGAGGCTGCAGTTAGGGTTTGTGCACCGGAGGCTGCGTGTAGTCCCTTGGGCCGGGTGGTGGCGGAGGGCCTGCAGGGTAGTCTCTGGGGCCTGATGGAGGCAAGTCTCTGTTGGGAGAAGGTGTATAGTCTCTGGAGCCAGGCGGGGGGAGCCGTGGGCCTGGAGGATAATCTCGTGGGCCAGGAGGACCTAGGGGTCGAAAAGGAGGGTGCCCACGTCCATAGCCTCTTGGATCTGGAGGAGGTGGCAGTGGGCCAGGAGGCAGATCTCGCATTCCTAAAGGTGGGCCAGGTAAGAAATCTCTAGGTGCTGGAGGTGGCAAGGGAGGACCACGAACTAGAAGGAAAGGGAAACACAGAGTTAAATGAAATCTTGCTTAACCTAAACGGTGAAGCTCCTGACTCATTTCTTGGAGCAGCTCTGGGGTGGGTCACTGTCACATGCAGACTTCACAGGCCCTGAGTTATATTCTAGTGACTTTTATCTGCTGGTTTCCATTTTAGATTATACAAGGAAAAATATCTCCTTCGTACTGTTGCATTAGGGAGGCTTGAAAAAGCCCACCTGTCCAAGCTCACTGAGCAAGACAGCTAGACAGCATGGGGAAGCCATGGATGGCAGATCCCAGTTCTGCAGGAGGCTTCCGAGAAGCACAGTGGGAACAGCTTAAGTTTCAGTACACAGCAACGCAACTGTACCTAGGGGCACAGGAAGAGGTCGAGGCCCAAAGTGCCCACGGAGAGGAGCTGGCGGTGGTCGCCCACCTGTCCAAGCTCACTGAGCAAGACAGCTAGACAGCATGGGGAAGCCATGGATGGCAGATCCCAGTTCTGCAGGAGGCTTCCGAGAAGCACAGTGGGAACAGCTTAAGTTTCAGTACACAGCAACGCAACTGTACCTAGGGGCACAGGAAGAGGTCGAGGCCCAAAGTGCCCACGGAGAGGAGCTGGCGGCGGTCCGTAGCGAAGAGGTGGTGGAGGTGGAGGTCCCATCACTGGGGAGGTCATGACAGGCGTCCCAGGGAAAGAAGGTGGGCCTTTGGCACTAGCGTTAGCCTGTGCAACATCAGGTTATACTTCAGTGTGTTACTTACTGCATCAGAGAGCTACTGACACTGCTGAACACCACACCCACTCGCCACAGGGATCAGAGGTGGAAGAGAGGAGAGGAGAGGGAAGGAAAAAAGAAGAGAGGAAAAAACCACAGCCCAAAACACATGAACCAAGTGGAAAATAGGGAAAGTTTCTGCACCAGCCTGGTCCCTTCACCCAGACTGCTGCTTGCACTACCTAGGAGTGAGCGCTAGTGTCCCTTCTGAGATGACAAATTTTGTTTAGTTAAAACTGTGCTAAAGAAAAGTTCAGTCCCTTTTGAAGTGTCCTTGGTGGACACCCCTTTGGTAAAGGGTCTGGCACCTTGAATTGCATATGGAATTGTGCTTAAATACCACAGGTAAGTCAGCTGCTTAGCATTACTGTTGTAGTCACTCCAAAGTGTTTGCCTGCAGTCATTAGCAAGAAAGATCTCATTTCCTCAGTTCCATAAAAACCAGACAGCAACTGTGCATCGTTAGAGAAACCTTTTGAGACAGAGGTATAAGCCCTTGGTTAGTTCCGCAGAGCACTTGTTATGTAGCGGGTCAGAACACCAAGCCTGTTACTCCTCTCCATCAAAGCAGCAGAGTGACACCATATTCAGCCTCTCAATACTCACTGTAGCTGGTTCAACAGATGAAGGTGAATCAGTAGTTACGCAGGGGGCTTCAGGCTCTTTGGGAGAGGGTTGCTTTGGGTTTTTTTTTTTGACAACAGATAAGGATAGTGACAGGATATAGACAAGACAGAACATGATACAATTAAAGAAGCAGCAGGAAGTACAGTGAATCATGTATCAGAAACACTTCCCAAAGGCTGGGGTTTTTTCAGCTTACCACTCCATCCATTGCTGTGGAAGGGGAGGAGGTTCTTGGCCCACCACTGATCAGGGATGCTACAGCAGGCCCCAGATCTGCAAAGAGCACCAGGAATGCATGTTACCATGCTGGGGGTAAGGAACGTGGCTTTTAAATTACATTTCTGCAGTGAAAGAACAACTGAGGACGTTGTAGTTGGTTGTGGGCCACATAACGTACCAGGAACGGACATCCTTCCAGGTAACTCTGGTGGCCTTCGTGGGGCAGGGGGGCCATCTACCACTGTACCTTAAGGGAAACAAGAACCCCACAGATCCTAATCAACACGTGCCTGAGCTGTTGCTATTAAAACAAACAAACAAACAAACAAAACCAAACAACAAAAAAACCCCAATACCACAAACCACCACCACTCATCTGTGTATTCATAAAGCAGGTATCGACACGTAACACTATCCCTAGAACCAAGGTCAGACCGTGGTGTTCTTGGATTTGTAGCCTAAGAGCTGGTTACCACCGAAGGGAAGCTTCGCTGCTTACCAAATTCACCTCGAGACCCTTCCCTTCGAGGAGCAGAAAGGGGCCGAGCAGGAGCTTCTATCATCTGTGTGGGGGACGGATTTCCTCCGCTCACAGGTGATGGCCCAAAAGAACCATCTCTGCTTAAGGGCCCTATGCCAAACAAGAAAAAACACTAGATTTACTTTTCTACAATTTATCGCAGCCTTATTTTTTTAGGATATACTGACTCATCAAAGACCAAAGTTTTGGGAGAAACAGCAGCATTTACCTCGTCGTGGTGGGACTTGGCGATCAGGTCTGCCTGGAGTTGGCTTCACAATTAATGGTCTTTGAAGCATGACGATTTTTTGGTTTACTTCTATTAATCTAATTTTTAAAAAATAAAAGTTTTTTTATTACTAAAATAATACATGTGAGTTATTTTTTATAATGTAACGAGGCAAACTGCATTGTAAAATGTTACAGCTTTCATCAGGAAACCTTAAATATCAAAACAGTTTAACAGTAGTTTAAAATTAGTAACTCAAACACAGGCACTAGTGCACGTTCTGAGCGAGCAGGCTAACTGAGCTCCTTCCCTCCCGAGCAGCTGCTCAGGGCAGCAACAACCATCTGGACTGTACTTACTTTTGTCTCAGGTTGGCTGCTTCTCTTTTTTCTTCAGCCAGAGCTCTCTCTGCAGAGCGGGCAATGAGCTGTTAGGGAAAATTATGCCAAATGCATTAACTGCACCAACCTGAAGTTAAGTACAAACTGTCTGCGTCAGAAAAGAAAGAACACTCTTACCCAGTTGTCGTGGGCCTTTTTCTCATGAGCAGCAATCTGAGAAGAAAAGGGGTTTTGTTTATTTTGTCCAACTACTAGTATTTCAGGTAACTCACGACGGAGCACTGGAATGATGCAGTAAAAGGTGACACAATGAGCAGAAGAAACAAGAAATGTACCTGGTTTTTGTAAGATCGCTCTGTTTTTAGCAATTCTTCTTCCATATCTTGGATCCTTTGCCTGTACAGAAGGAAAAAGAGGGGGAGGAGGGAGCTTTAAATGAATTTTCTTCAATAGCTGAAATAAAGGAAAACAACAGCCTGCAGAAACTGTAGTTACTTGTAAACTTTCACTTCCTCGATGGCCAGCACGGCTTTTTCATCTGCAGCAGACAATTTCTGCTCCTTCTCCTGACGCTCGTACTCCTCCTGGGTTAGTTTTCTGCATAGGGGGAAAATAAATAAATAAATAAAAGCACCATATATTCCACCATCCTACATGTACTGCAACTCAAGATCAGGGTACTCCCCTGCTGACAGCAACAGTGGTATCAGCATCTGTAATAACCTGCAAGCACAGAGAGAATAAAGAGATTTTTTTTTTTTTAAGAGGCAGAAATACTGTCTTTTGAAATCAACAGACAAACCCTTTGTGTATAAGACATGAAAATTAAGGATGCAGAGTTGACTGGTGAGTTCTGTCAGCATCTAAAGATTTGTCAGAATCTAACAATTGCAGCCAGTTCATCTCTTCAGATCCTGTGATTTACTTGCCAGTTCTACAGATGGTAATCCAGATTTGCAAAGGCACAAACAGGGAAATATGCAGAACTGACGTCTCGCCAAGGGAGATGAAGAAATGAATGTGTAGTGAAAGAGGGGGAACTTTGCTTTTTTCCAGGTATTCTCCATACCAACTTATTACATGACTGATTTCCACAGTCCTTTTATAACCTCATGGTTCACTATATTTTTTAATTTTGGACAATTTTCCGGAAGTATTTAAGAGAACCATAATGTGTTCCTAACTTACAAGAGCTATCCCACAAAACGGGAACCATTACACTAGTAGGAAGCTGACTATTGCTAATAGCCAGTTTGCCATAATCCATTTCCTTGGCTACATGTGGAAACAGTTTTCCAGAAAAAAACTGCAGGAAGTCCTTCATTCGAAACAAGGAGTAGTAACAGGCAGTGTAACTTCCTAAAAGGTTTGTAAGGAATAGAAATCCTTCAGAGAGGTCAAGGGGAAGTTTTCCGTGAAAGGTCGGCTATTCTTCACCTCTTATGTGTTTACTACACCTGGATCCTGAAGTCAGGAGGTCAGTCAGTTTCACTACTGAGGTGCTGGACAGCCTCAATTCCTCAGCTTGTTCCAACCCTGTGCTTCCCACAACCTACACACTTGAACCTTAGAACTTCCAGTTGCTTCTCCACCACAATTTCAGCTTTCCTACAGAATTCAGCTGAAAATGTCCCAGAATCCTATCTCAAATTTTCCCCACAGAACTGAGATGGTATTACAGACATTTCAGTAAATAAATAAATGAATAAATAGATGAGGAATGAACACAGATACACAACAGTTCTTCACTGCTAGCAATTCATTAATCTCAGCTGCCAACACGAACTCAGCCTTCATTTAGCCCTTTGAGAATGCAAAAGCTCACAAGGCTAAAATACTAAGTTTCTACACGATGAGAATTACTCACTGAACTGAGGTCAGAGTAACTAGAACAAATCTCAGTGGCCACTACATTCTCCTTGATGTTTCTGGACAATGTGACAGAGCAACCACAGAATCTGCAGACCAAGCCACCCATCTCCCCTCTCCAAAAGTTGTTTGTTTTTAACAGTAGAAGGCAATATTGTGCATGCAAAGTGACAGTCTTTTCAGAATCTCTGGGATGGTGGAAAAACGTAAAAAAGGGGTACCAGCTTCAACCATGCTGAAACAGTATTCATCACCTTCCATCCCAAACACAGCTTCAAGTTATTTGATCCTTCCGAGCAAAGAGCGTTTGGATAGTGCCTACAATATCATACACCATGTTGTGGAAGAGCAATGAAAAGCTTACTTCTGGAGTGCCATCTCCTTCTGCTGGTAAAGTTCACCAAGAATCTCCACTTTCTGCTGTAGTGTTTTGCATTCATTTTCCAGCTGAGCCTTGGCTGACTCGAGGGAATAGGAGTCGTGTTCTAATTTTTTTATTTGCTCTGGTGGAAAAGCAAAGGCAGGTGAGGAAGTTGAAGGAAGTAGCAGTAAGAACTGTTATGCCGCTTAAACACTCTGTTTCTTTTTAAACTACAAAGAGCATTTCATCCTAAGCAATTCTTTTGCTAAGCCTACCTTCTAGCTCATGCCTTGCTGTTACTTCATCACTCAGTTTGGACTGCAGAAGATTTCTGTCTTCTTCAACTATGGATAACATAGTTTTTACCTGAAAAGAGGAGCAGAAAGTTTATGACCTTAGGCATAGCAGTAATGCGGCTGCATTTATTAGATATGTTGTGCAGCATACCCTGGAGACATCCATCATCTGCTTAATCTGAGTCTTCATCTTCTCACTCTCATTATCTAGAAGAGAAAAATATATTTGTTTTCTCTGTTTCTTAATCCCAATTCCCTGGACTTTCCAGCTCTTAAAAATAACACTCCCTACACTTTAATCTGGGATAGGTCTCCTTATGTGATTAAAGACAAAAAAAAGGGAGGTGGGGAGCAAAGCACAACAGCAATTCAACAACCAGCACAACAGAACTATTAGATTTATTCCAAAATGCATTCAGAATATTCCTTCTTGTCACTTCTCCTAGGCACCACACTAACATTATTGAGAATGCAGCACCTGTTACTGGATGCAGTATCTGAAAACCAAAGAGTGGGCATTTCCAGCCCACATATACCATATAGTTAGGGGGGAGAAAAAAAACCCAAAAAACCAAAACAAAACTACCACACTTCAAAACCAGGGACGTAGCAAATACACGTGCAATATCACGAATGACAAAATGCCTGAGTAGCTTTGAAAGCGTCTATTTTGGTCTTTCACATTTAAAAGATGTGATTACCTAAATTAGGTATCTAGCCAGAGGTAAGCACAATACTTATTAAAAATTCCTACTAAAAATAATTGTAGCATAACAGCAAAGCTGAGATTCTCAGCTTCTGGAATGTTCATAATCACTGACCTTTACATGCAGTCTTTAAAACTGTTATTGCACTTAGAATATACCTAAAAGATCATCTAAAAGCAACTATTGTCCTTTATAATGGTTTCTCCCTTCAGGCAGGGAATACTAAAGTATGTTTGAGGATTAAAGCTGGCAGTCCCTTAACCCACAGGCAGCTACATGCATGGATTCCCCTTGTTCCCCATATGACATGGCATGAACATACCACTGCAAATGCTTTAGCCACTGGGCCTGCCAGCCAGCAGGTAGGACCACTGTACCTGGCAACTCTCCATTGGCGAGATCGTCTCCTGTGCTCCATTCGCACCCTTCACCATCCTTCTTGGCTTCAGATGTCGAATCCATGTCGAGCTGCTTCAGCTGCATAATGCAGTTAGTTAAAACCTAAGAATGAAATCAAAGTTTCACTGAAGGGGAATCACTCTGCATTCTGTAAAGTATTTCCAAGTATTTTATGATGTGTAATACTTAACGCAAGCTTGTTTTAAAGAACCTACTTCAATTTCATTTTCCTTGTAGGCAAGCGCTTCTTCTATGTCCTTCTGGGATTTCTGATACAGCTTGATCTGCTCACTGAGCTCAGTGTGCCTCTCGCTCCAACCTTCAGCTTCTTTCAACAGCTGTGTGAAGAACCAAGGCAAGATGATTACTTGTTTTATTTTTAGTACAGGATATATGTAATTAAAGTCTATTTTACTGCCAGCTCTGGCGATAACCGATCACCACAGGTCACGGGTAAAGGGTAAACTCCACAGTTACCACACTCATCACTAGTCCACGGGCAGAAATGGATGCTGCTGCGAATCTTTCTGCAGTTTATATTACTGGCTGATTTTACAAATTTGGCATTTTCTCAGCTAATGTCCCAGGGCAAGAACCCAATTGGCTCACACACTTCAAAATATGAGGAATTAATTGCAGTCCAGAGGTAACCAAAACACATTCCTTAAAAGCCATTACTTCATATACTTTCAGAGAAAGAAAACAGAGAGATATTTATAATTATTTGTAAAAGAACTGTCACGACATTTCAGGGCTAGAGGTCGTCCCCATTTAGCTTAGCTTCAGAATTGCTTTTTGGCAGTTCTTTACCATGACTTCCTTCAGTCCTGATGCCAAGTAGCAATATGCCAAGTATCAGTGCAGTGACTATCACATCAACACAGACTTTCTGTGAAGTTGCTGACAAAAATTGAGTCACTGGAACTGGCAAAACCTTCATACTGAAGATGTGTGGCTCACCAGCACAAGAAGCCTGTGCAGGCAGGCATCAAGGGTTTAAATTTTATCCTGATAATATGAAATGTGGAATTCTGACATGTTTAGGAAACAGAGAGATGCTGAAGTTACACTCCAGAGAACCAGGAATAAAGCCCTGATATTTTGTTCAAAAGAGAAACAAAGTTGTCTAGTCTGGGCGTAACTTACTTGCTCCTTGCTCTTTTTCAGCCTAGCATTCTCTTCCTGCACGTGATGAAGCTCAGATTTCACCTTTTCTTCACTTAGTTTAGCTTCATTAAGGGCTATCTGCACCTACATATGAAATAAAAAGGATCAAAAAGACAAAGTCAAACTGTAATGGAGCAAGACATATTACCTGGTAAAATGGAAAAGAAAAAGGTATATAAGCATGAACAACCTGGACTCTGCCAAGCTAGCATCTTCTATTACATCCTAGATATGAGTTTTCCAGGTACAAGAACTTGTGACTGTTGAGAGGGTGTAGATAATGCTTTACCTCTGAAAGCTCTTCAGAATGCACGCTGATAGCCTCTTGAAGTTTCTCCAAGGACTTCTGGGTTTCAGAGATCTATATAAGAAATATGAGCAAGGACTTTGTAAGAGCCTGGTACATGTCTCAGCCTTAGTAATTATTTTACCTGTATAATTTGGAAGCATAAAAGGCAAATCAAAAGACCAACAAATTTCCATTTAAAGCAGCCATCAGAGTAGCAGCAACACGGCACTGTCTTATCAGCAAGGTAAGGAGTAGAAACATACAGCACATTAGAATCAACTTTCCCCTGTGACTCTGCCTGTTCAGGGCTGAGAAAGTTCCCTGTAGACCTGCACAGTCTAGAATGAAAGTAACACATGCTGCTGTCATTAGCAACAACCTTTGACCAAAACAAGAGCAAAGAACTTACTGGAGCTTACCATTGCTACAGAAAATCAGGCTTTAAAAAGAAGGGGAAAAAAAGAAAAAGAAAAAAGAGAACAAATACATCTGCACAACAAGAATGAGGGGCAGCTTAGAGTTCTTCACGCTTCTATGCAACTAGATGCTTCCTCTAAGCACAAGAAAACATCTCTTGCCAACCTGAAACCTTCAGCTCATATTGTTAAGGAACTTCCTGGCTCTGGCTAGGAAGTATTAGACCAGCCCACACCTTGAATACATCCATTTGTGAGTGAAAGAACATAATCACACTAGTCCAAGATCTCACAAAAACAAACCAAAAACCAACAAACCACCAACCCAAAACCAACAACAACAAAAACCCCAATCAACAAATCTCCCCTTTGAGCCTGGGATAAACCTGAAATTTCAAGTCAGTCCTCTTTTTGAGAAGGTTCATCTTGTTTGCTCTACCTCTATCTGTTTACCTCTCAGGTTGTGACCAGCTTTTAGAGCATATTACGTTAAGGACAATATCAGATATGAGTGTGATTGCTCTTACCTTATTCTGTTTCTTCTCATTCTTTTTTCTCTCCGTTTCAACCATTCTGTACAGATTTTTTACTTTGTCATCTAGCTGACGATTTTCTTCTTCCAGTCCTTTGACAGTGTCCTAAAAAAAAGTGCAAAAGACCAACTAAAGCACGTTAAAAACTTGATGTTTTTGCTTTCAGTACAGAGTTAGTTAACTGTTTCTTACCTTAAGCCCTGCAGTTTCATCGGAGAGAATGTCTTTTTGCTCTTGGGCCACTTTCACAGATTCCTTTGCTTCCTTTATCTAAGCACAGAAATAACCAAACAGAACTGAGGAAATTGTCAACATAATATTCAGTAGAATAGAAAATAAAAATGTATTAGCTGTTGCATTGACTGTGTCATTAAACCAACAACAGAAAATTAGGAAGCAAAGGACAAGAACCTAGAACAATACCTTTTTATCATATTCAGATATCTTTTCTAAGATTTCTGTTTTTTCTTGTAGAAGGTTTTTAATCTTTTCAGCAAGTTGCTTTTCAGTCACTAGGAAAAGAAAGAAAATTTATAGTAACTGTACTTCACATCCTGGGGGGCGTGACACAGGTAAAATCAGAGCTATCATTACTACCACTTTAGGGAACATTTCCAAGCAAGGACTAAAGCATAAATCAGGGTAGTGCCAATTTCCTGGCAGTCAGCCCTTTCTGCAGGAGTCCAAGCACCTCCAGCTTTCATTTAAGGTTAGGATCGAAAACAAGACAGTAAAGCATTGAACACTGACACAAAGCACACAGCTCCTGCACCCACTGCACAGAAGCTGGTCCCAGGACACACAGCAAGGCAGAGTAAGGAGCCAGCGACACACAGATGTGGTAGGTTCAAGGGAAGAACTGGTGGCGGGGATCTCAGCAGCCTCAGAGCGCCACCGTGACACTCGGGGAAAGGCAACACCTTCCCTAACAACCACCTCTTTCTGCTATATTGAAACTCAATGTTTGGTCAGCAAAGATAACAGGATGAAAGCTCTGAAAGACCTACTGGGAACAGAAGAGAGACTGTCAGCTGGCAGACAGCATCAGGAAGCCTCAAGGAACTGCACCACTTTCTAACAGACCTTTCTAAAAGGGCTGTGACCGAGCAACAGTTCTTTAGGCATGCATTTGTTTGGCAACCTGAACAAGTCACCAACCAACCCTTAGGATTCAAGGAAAAACATTAACGTAAATTATTTTATTGCAAATTAATTTAAAGAACATCCAATTGTCATTCTTTTTCAAGTCCTAAACCACCCCTGCACTTGAACAGCCCAAGCCTCATGTGCCTCACAACAAGTCCTGCAGCACAAACAGGAAGCACTGGTTGTTCCAACTGCATCCCACAGGCTGCAGTGGCACCTGCTCCTCCTCCTTCCCCTCCCACCTGAGGGCTCTGGGGCCAGGAGAGGCAACAAGCGCCTGCTGAGGTACAAAATAGTTCTCAGCAGTTTAAGGGGGCAGGAATCCCTGCATTAGCTTGGTCTCCCTATTTTACTCCTGTCATGAGGACTGAATAACAGATTTTATCTTTGGAACTCCAAACGTAACCTATCTTTTAAAGCATTTTTGTCACTGTTAATATCCCTCTATTTTGGATAAAGGTTTTAATAACAACACAACCTTTACCATGCTTGAAGAATATCTATTTGTTCTTTGCTTTAGTAGTTCCTATACTGTATCATACAGAAGATTTTTATTTTGTTTTTTGCAGGGTGGGGGAGGGGATTAGCACCTCTGTTCCTCATTTTTAAGGGCAGGCTACTAGGTAATTTCTACACCACTAATACCAATGTTTTTCCACCTTGTGATAGTTTAATTGTTTTGCAGTATGGAAATCACATTACAGATCTAAGATCAAGTTTTTTTCAGCTCATCAATTCTGTGTTAATTGCATAGGAGGAAACTGCAGTATAACTACAATGAAACTAGAGAGAAATGGCTGATAAATAGTCTGGTTTGTGAGGAGGAAAAAGACAGAGTTCATATGAAGACAATTCTTTCATACTTTCATTTTGCATTCAATTACTAATTTCAGCAATCACCCTACTCTGAATTCTATTTCTTCACTTTAATTTTATATACTGGAAGCTAGAGAAACGCTTTTGTAAGAAGTGATGTGCTAGCCACCGGAATATCTGCATATTTAGGTCTACATTTAGAAGGTCTCTTTGCAATTGCACAGCAGTCAGTTTCAGGCTCCTCTCAATCCAAAAAGGCAAGAGGAACTAGCTACTGCTTTTTGTGAGAAGCAACAAGCAAAAGCAGATCCACTGCTAGTCAAGAGAACCAAAACAAACTCTGCCCCACTATCATCCTACCAGGAAACCAATGGATCACACTTATGTCGAACAAGGTGGAGCTTTTCCTTGCCCTTACACTTGCAGTTGCAAGCTGCATCTGCATTGTTTCTCCCAATCCACGCATTATCAAAAGCAAAATTGAAATCCTCAGGTTCAAGTAATTATCATCTACTGGCCTGACTTACACCATAACCTTAGACTTGGCATTCTCCTTGAAAGAGAGAGAACACTTGGTCCTCTCAAACAACCTCCAAAACTTTTACATGCCTGAACATCAAGTACACTGAAAAGCACAGAGAAGCTTACCTTGATATATTCTACTCTTTACCTAGAGAATAGAGAAGGAGAAATTAAAAAAATTAGCCATAAGAAGTGCTAAGTGAGAAAAGTTATTAATTTTCCCAACAGAAAAAAGTCAGCACTTGCACACAAATTAAAGAAGCATATGGAAAACACATCTATCGCTGCCAACAAGAGTGTTGAATAACACTACAAACAAGCTTAAGCTGTTTTCTAATAAAAGCTTCCAGGTTAATGCTCTGTCCCAGAGCCTCAGTAAACGTCTGTTTAGTCGGGCGCTAAAAGGACAGCGGTAACTGCCCACCTCCAATTCGCAACAACGAACATCAAGCCATTCTGCATCAAACAACTCATGAACTTGTAAACACAAAACACACATGCAACCCGGTTCTGATCCTTTTAAAGCAATGTACGTTTACATGACAGTTGCTCATTTCAAAATTAACACAATTAAAAAAGATTTTCAGAAGCTTTCTTCTTATGCTGTTATAGTAACAGTATTTTGCATTTGAAACTGACCTAGCATATTCAATATCAAAACTAAACAAGGAGAAAACTACCGACATTATTATAGGTAATATTTAATTTATTTTTATCAGGCAAAGATAAAGCATTTGACAGGCTTCCAGAGCACGTCCACACTGAACTGGACAGCTGTAAAATAAACTGTCCTATCTGATTTTCATCTATCGATTCTCGAGGAGATGCACTGGTATAATTGGGAGCTGGTATTTTTCTTGCATAGAAAATTATCCTTGTAGAAAAAAGGAGGACAAATGCAGAGTGAGGAGAAGAGCAGGGAAGGGGCTCTCCAGTGAGAATTAAGATCAGGTGTTTAGGTTTCTAAATGTGGCACCTACAAGCAGCTGGACAATACGGAGTGGGGAGGATTAACTGCTTGTTTTTGGCAATAGTCAGCAACAGGCTCAAGCACATGGAAGGCTTCTCATTTCAAAGATATGCTGACCCTTCCCTCAGCCTTCTTGATTTACATCATACTCCCCTATTTTGCTTTCAAAACTGCCCTTTGCTAAAGAAATCTTCAATTATAGCTTAAAGGAAATGCTTCTTAGCTTGAAGAAAATTATAACTTACTTTAGCTATTAAGCCCAGCATTTAGTTCACATTAATGCTCTAAATGGAAAAAGTAAAAACATACTGCTTCGACCCTGGTAATGCTGAAGCAGTTTAACTATATAAAAGGTCACACAATAAGTGAAATATCAGCATGGCTGCAAGCATGAAGTATGTATACTCACTGAAAGGCAGGTTCTCCAGAAAATTATAGCAAGTGTGGCAATTCCCACTAAGGCAGTGATAATAATAGGCTCCCATGGAATTCCATGGAAATCAGGCCCAGGACGAATTTCCTCAGGCAGGTGAGCAACCAGCTGAAAACCGACAACATTGACACCTATGAATATGCTTTCATTAAATACTTAGGCAAAATAAATTGCCTGCCAAATGCTTTTATTCCTCTCATAAAACCGAGAACCATCTAGAGCTTTCTCACAGTTTTTTTCTGTAAACCGAAAATGAAAAATGAAGAAAACCACAAAGCAGTTCAATGCTTGAATTTCAGCTCAGAAGTCTGAGTATCAGGAAGACACCTGACAGTAACAATCTGCTGGCAAAGAACAGCTACACCAAAATAAGCTGCTACGCACATTTTGCATTGCACAGCACTAGTAGTTACTTGGTCAGTTTCCAAATAAAGCTATAGGGATTGAGAAATATAGAAAAAACACCATGTTTACAGCTGGGTGTTTGTAACCATCTAGTAAAAACAGCTCGGATCCTTTCCCAGCTGTCGCCCTGGTCACAGGGTAACATGTCATGTGTCTCGTCACACGTCCTTCCGAGGGCCAGAGAGCACCAGCCGCCTGACAGAGGTGCGAACACCTGGTACAGTTCACAGGGCTGACACCGACATGGCGCTCGGAAAATAACCTCTAAGAGCCACGCAGAGCCCGCCGCCGCCTTCCCCCGGGCCGCAGCCCGCAGCAGCGTCAGGTTCAAACGAGGGCGGACATTTCCCCCTGCAAAGCCCAACCGCG